CTGAAGAAGAAAAATATGTCGCTAAGGAAGCGGCATTCCTTTGGGATATTCTTGGCCATCGGTAAGTTTTCATGTGAACTATTTAGGGCTTTCTTTAATGTACAACTTATAATATAAGCGATCTRTGAGCTATCATTAACGAACTATACAAAGGTGATATGTCTTGCTTTTGTGTCTTTTACGAGGTCAACTAAGTATAGCTTACACTAACCTTAACCTTACCATTGAAACAATGGTTTCTTCTTGCTTCGATTATATCATATTCGATCGAGTCAATAATCCGGTATTCTAGCTAGAAAGCCTTTTGTTTGTTTGCACAGACAGTGAGCTCACTGAAAATAAAATCACGAAATACTTTAATATCGAAAGAACCCTAGAAAATCCTATTTTATACAATATAAGAGCTTTTATTTAGTTTTAAAACAATTCATATACGGAATAGATATGCTTATTTAGGGTAGAGAAGGTTCAGTATTTCTTTAACATTGTATTGCAGTATTTATTGGTTTTGAAGCAGGAATCTTTCACTAGTTTATCTACAGTGGGAAGATAAAATGATGATAAACTTGAATCCATATTTCTTCGGTACAAACCCTTTGAGTCCGGATATCTGGCAAGAAAATATGCTTCAGAATTTAATAAAACTCTTGCTCTAGTGCCAAGAATCGTAGCACGTACCTTCCAGACCTGCTTGGACAATTTTTAAAGAAAATTCGAAATTTAAAAGCATGTTATTATTCATTAAAGTGTCCCAAAGGGATACTCCCAAGCTCAATTTTCAGCACAAATTTTGGCTAGATCCCAACCCTAGTGGTGATGTTGGAAAAATCCCAAATCAGTTCTGATTAACTGCACATATTTGGATAAACAGGAAACCAGATATATTAAGGAAAAATAAGGGACTTTTTTAAGTAAGATTAGTCAATATCAGAACCATTTGTTTTTGTTGTGTCATTTTCAACTTAGCAAATCTGTTTCTCGTTCTTTCTCTCTCTTTCTCTCTCTCTCTCTCTCTCTCTCTCTCTTTATATATATATATATATATATATATCCCCCTCTTTCTCTGTTCCAAATCACATTTCCATTTCATCAAATCCCATTCCCAGTTCATTGAATGTAATTTCC